TAGCCCTTGGAGGACTCACTCAGATCCGCGTCTGGGAGGCTGTAAAACTGTTGCTCTTTTTGACATTGGGTTTAAGAGAATTACGTTTCCTTACAAATAGAACTGCATAGAGAGACAAAAATCACCTAGGAAAAAAATGATGTTGAAATATTGACCCTTTCATTTCTTTGGAGTTTTAATAATGTGACTGGGAAAGAATGAATGAGAAATAATCTTATTTCCTTTGGTCTCTCTGTGTAACTCTGAAAGATTACCTAAGATATGCATGCAGACTCTTAAAGAAGTTTGTGTAACCTTTAGACATTGAACTCCTGTCACCATTGGTGTAAACAGACCTGGAGATGGATCCAGAACTAACTCAGCGGCTGGCTCAGCCTGGAATGGGCTTGTATACAGCAGACATGACTTGACACAAACCCTCCTGAGCCTCTTTCTAGAATCTTCTCTGAGTCCACAGTAGCTGCTGTGTGTGGGGCTAACAGGAAGGAACATTCCAGATGCCTCTCCAAGGGCCAGGTTCTGGACCTGCAGCCTTGTCCTCTAATCTGCTCCTGAGTCATCCAGACGAAGGGTCAGGAGAGTCTGAAGCAGACAGGGGTAGAGGGAGTCAGGGGAAATCTTGACAAGCTGGCAGGGAGCCCAGACCTTGGCAATCTACAAGACAGGAGAAGTGGCCTACATTCTTCAACCAAGGCTTCCAGAGCAAGCAAAGGGCTAAAATTCTTACTCAGCTTTGGCTCTATACCCCAAGCACAACTGGTAAGGTAAAGGCTTCCTGGCTAGGGCTCCCATGGGAATGTCCCCCTTGTCTCTCCAGCTTTGGGTAGACTCTTTATACCTCGACCCTGACATCAGGTCTTAGAGTCCCCTATTTATGATGTCTCATTTTCTCTGGAGGGCTTTTTATGGAGTCCTGAGAAATCCTCAGAGCAGACAGTTTCACAGTGTTCTGTGGCTTCCCACCAGGGATTCTGTGAGGAGGAGGAATAAGTTGGTGAGGGGAGATGGAGAGAGGTGATTGACAGCTAAGTTTTGGAAATGCAGCACAGTCCATCTGTCTTCTAGAATCCCGGCTCTGAGAGGTTTTTGTTGTTTTGGTTTTGGTGCCAGGTCCAGTACTTCGTGCATGGTAGGCACCATGCTCCATCCATAGCCCTCTGGGAAGTTCCTCATTCTCAAACTCCAAAGAAAATAGTAAACAAATTGAGGCTTGCCAAGATTTAAAAATTTGTGTTTCCAAGACACACACACACACACACACACACACACACACACACACACACACAGGTTGCCAGACCTAGTGACATATGGCTGTAGATACCAGCACTTGGGAGGCAGAGGTAGGAGGATTAATGGAAATTCAAGTTAGGCATGCTTGAGCTACAGAGTGAGTAAGAGTCTGTCTCCAGCTCCCTGACCCCCACCCCTGCCAAAACACACACACACACACACACACACACACACACACACACACACACACACACACACAGCGAAGTCTGACACAGAAACATAAACATGCCAAATGAATCAATCTCAAGAGGACTGAGATGGTGGGAGTCTTCCCTAAAGAGCGAAAACAAGCATTCTGATGTAGGCGTGGTAGCCCTCTGAAAGATAAGGGGCTTCAGCAGGATGCTGCTCGTCAGCATGGTCCATGGCAAAGATGCAGCTCCCAGGATCAACAGGGAGGTCTGGGTTCGCCAGACTCAACCATTTCAAAATGGTGTCTGTTTCTTTCTTCTCACCACTTGACTGTTTTGCAGTTCATGTATCTACCCACAAAACCTTATTAATCTTATAAAAACGATGAATAAAATAAATGCTGAAAATTTGTGTCTCCTGAAGCTAGCCCTTCGTGCTTGCTGGCATTCTCAGGAGTTTCCTGCCTTTGGCATTCTCATAGTCAACATCACTGATTGACGGGGTTAATGTAGTCATACTCACACAGAGGAAGAAAGTATTACAGGAATGAATTAGAATTGTTGCAACAACGTGTTGTAAATTTAACAATATTTTTTCAGTCTTTGTGTATAAAACATCATTGAAGTGGTGGTCTTAAATTTTACCATTGAACTGTGTGTGTTCACATTGAATAATTATTTCTGCAAATTTATTTTCTTGTTAAACTACTGCTTCAGTTTAATACCTTGTGTGCTTGAAGAATCGTTTGTGTATAAATTAAATTGTCATGCCTCAAAAAGAAAAAAAAAGATAGTTTCCAGGGGCTTGGGGTAAGAGAAATGAAGAGCTGGGTTTTTTGTTTGTTTTATGTGTATGAGTATTTTGGCTGCATGTGTATCTGTGCCTGGTCCCCAGGAAGGCAGGAGAAGCTGTCAGATTCCCCTGGGACTAGAGTTGCAAATGTTTATGATCTGCCATGTGTGTGCTGGGAATAACCCCAGTCCTCTGAAAGACCAGACTCTGCAGCCCCAAAGAGTTGTCTTTGAATGTATGCAGTTCGTTTTGCAAGTTGAAAGAGCTCTGAGGACAGATGGTAATAATGGCTGAACAGAGTATGAATGCATGTGATGCTGTTTATGTTAGTTTGCTTAAGCTGCCATAACAAGGTGCCAAAAAAAAAAACAACCTAGGAATTTATTTTCTCATGGTTCTGGAGTCTGGGTGTCCAAGAACAAGATGCCAGGATGAGGTCTTTCTTCCTGGCTTGCATTAAAAACGAGTGAGGGCTTGGGATGTTGCTAGCTGTTAAAGCACTCACTTGGTGTCCATGAGGGCCTGGACATCTCTACTACCCCCAAAAGAATTGAAAAAATATGATGAGCAAAATATTTGAATAGGCACTTCTCAAAAGAAGACACACAGATGGCAGAGAAGCCTCGAGAAGATGTTAAATGCAGTAGTCATTGAGGGAATGTAAATAAAACATGACAGAAACACTTGTCACCCATGGTGATGGCTATTATCAAAAAGGTAGATAATAAGCACTGTTGGCAGGGACCTGGAGACATGGCTCAGTGGCTAAAAGTGTGTCTTGCTCTTACAGGGGATGGGAGTTCGGTTCCTTGCACCCACGTTGGGAGACTCCAGCTCCAGGGAGTCCGGGGAGATCTGAAGCCTTTGACCTCTGAGGGCATACACTCACATGCACAGACACACATATAAGTACACAAAATTAAAAATAAATATTTTTTCAAAGAACAGTTGGGAAAAATTAACTGCTGATAGGACTACAAAGCAAAGTAGTTTTGGGAAATATTTTGTCCCATTTTAAAACTAAAATACTGTTTGACTTGACTTGGCATTAAAATGTTGTTTATTTACGTGTATGTATATTTGCATATGTGAATGTATGCCGTGTGTGTCAATCCATGAAGACAAAAGGACAGCATAAGATCCACCGAAGCTGGGGTTATAGGTGGTTGTGAGCTACCTAATGTGGGTGCTGGGAACTGGACTTGGCTTCCTTGTAAGAGCAGCAAGCACTCTTAACTGCTAAGTCATCTCTCCAGCCTCCGACTCAGCATTTTATTTCTGCTACATACCCAAGAAAATTGAAGGGCCACATCTATACAAAAACTTCACAGGCGTTTATAGCACCGATTTTCATAATAATTCAGAATGTTGAAATTATCTAGTGACTGATAAATGGATAAAGTATAGTAATGTCCACATGTTATGGCCCGAATCTGGTATGTCCCCCCAAAGTCTCATGCTTTAGGTGTCTGCCCCTACCGTGGGGCGCTATTTTGAAGGCTGTTGGCCATATAGAAAGTAAGGGCTAGCAGGTGAAGTGGGTTATTAACGGTGGGCTCTAAGCATCCCTGGTGCAGTTTCCTATCTCTGCTTCCTGTCCATGCCATGAGAGGACCCTCTCCCATCCTGTCACCATGCACCCCGCCATGCCTTCCCCAGCATGATAGAGTGAGATCTACAAAACTGTGAACCAAAAGAAACCCTTTCTCCCCTTAGGTCACTTCTGCCCTACACTGTGGCCACAATGACGATAAAGGGAACGAGTGTACAATACAATGGCACTCTCTTCATTCATAAAAATAAACATAACACCAACACTCGCTACAAGGGTGAACCTTGGAAACATTATTCACATGGCATAAACCAGACACAAAAGGCTATGTGCTATGTGAGTCTGCTTATTTTCAGAGCGGACAGATCCATTGAGACAGAAAATAAATGAGTGTTTCCCCGGGGAAAGAGAGAATGACTCCTGCTAGGCATGGGCTTCTCTTGGGGTGTGTGGATGTTTTGGAATTAGGCAGCAGTGTTGACTACGCAATTTTGGGAACCCACTAGAAACCAGCAAATTGTGTATTTAAGAGGATAAAGAGTATTTATTACATTCAGGTTTATCTCAGTTAAAGAGAAGAGAGAGAGAGAGAGAGAGAGAGAGAGAGAGAGAGAGAGAGAGAGAGAGAGAGAGAGAGAGAGAGAGAGAGAGATTTAATCCCAGCATTTCTTTAGTTTGTTTGAATGCGGATCTTTGTAGTTCAGGGAATGATAGTAGTGGTCATTTATTTTCCATTTTATCCAAAGGGAAAGGAAAAGAAAACTTGACATCTGTGCCTCAGTTTCTCATTGAAAAACTGAGGATAGCGGTACCTATACTTTGTAGGGTGTGGTGTTAAATCAGGTTTTGTAGTATAGTGCTGAAAACAACGCCTACCTAGCAACAGGTGATTCAAAATGGTTATTGCTGCTATCTGAGCAAGATTAAGGAGCGGACCCCAAATGCAGGCCCTATGGCCTGATCTCCCAAGCACACTGAAGAGAAGACAGTGTTCTTTCACTTCACGGGGTCAGAAAGTGAGGTGGAGGAGCTGTGGTTAGGAAGCACCAGGCACCATGCTGCTCACAGGGACAGTATGGCAGGAAAAGTATCCAGGGTCTCCGGATGGCTGGCATCCACCCCTCTCTCCATCCCACTCTCGCCTACAAGGCAGCTCCTGACTTCCTCTCTATTTTATTTTTTAAAATTTTGGCAGCTTTCTTGAGGTATAATGAAATTCAAAGTGCCTTTGAACTAAAGTATACAGTTGTTTAATTTTAATCATGATATAGAACATTTCCATCTTCCAGAAGGTTCCAACCAGCCAGTCTCCCTCTTCCTGGTCCCTGGTCCGCCATCTTGTTTTTTGTTTGTTTGCTTTGTTTTTCCCCACAGGTGTTAATGACTCTGTGAAAGGCTCAGCCTTTGCACAGCTGAGGAAGGGCTGAAGGAAGGAGGGAGTGTTATTCAGTTGGGTGAAGCTTATGCCTAGTCGACACTAAGGATCAGAAAATCTGGTCACAGGTCCTTGAGCTGGACCAGCCACACCCTTACAGCTGAGCCAGCTGGGTCCCCCTTTCCCAGCACCAGCAGAGTAAGGTGGAGTTGGGTTGGGTAGTGCAGAACTAGGAGGGCCTGACGTAGCTTTGAGTCAATGTCTGGATCACCAGTGACCACAGGGCTTGACTTCCTCATATCCCCTCCTCCCTAGTTCTCCCTCTGTCCTTCTTTGACTTTATTTTCCTGGCTCTGTGGAACCATCTCACCAGCTACCTGTCTTTTCCCCTGAAGCCTCTCTGCCTTCCATCTGCCATCAGTTTCATGACCACCTTTTTCCTCGAAGAATTCCTGGCCCTGACACCAATCCTGACTGGATGAATAACTGGTCCAACTGTCCTTTTCCTGTTTACGAGTGTGTAAGAGTCAAAAACCTCTAAGGTTTCTCTCCAGCTCTTCATTCTGATTTGTTTCTTCTTCCTAGACAATGTGGGCACCTGGAATAGAAAGACAGAGGAGGAAGGTTGTAGTGGCTGTCATACCTTAGCCTTAAGAGAAGGGTGATCCACTAAGAGCCTCTTAATCCAGGATTCAGAAGGAAATGGGCTATAAGCACAAAGTACCTGTATCAGGACCACCTGAGCTCATTTGCAGTGAATTGGCCTCCTGGGGGTTCCTGGAGACCTGGTGTAAAGGAAGAGGGACTAGGAAGCTATAGGGAGCTAGGCTGGCTTGGAGAGAAAATAAGCATATACAAATGTATGCAGATATATGCAAATCTCTGCAGCTTTGCAGTCAGCCTAGGGGCTCTCTGGGTAGGAGCCTTGGCCCCACCCTAAGTTCAACATCTCTTTTTGGCCCATTAATCCCTTCTTCCTGCTTCTCCCTCCCTGGAGCAGCTGCCTCTTCACAGTGGCATCTTCCCTGGACCCCACAAGGGGTCTGGGAAGATAAGGACGCTGAGTCACCAGGCTGGGAAGGGAAGGGGAGAGACTTAGTTTCAAGCTGAGAATGACAACTTGGGAAAGTGGCGGGAGAGCTACCTCACTTCCTGGTTGCAAGTCTCTATTTAGCCCCAGATGTCAAAATCAGCACCTCTCAGATGGGCTTGACTGCTCAGCATCCAGAACAATCCACAGCAGGGCTTCGTGGGGTCTCGGGCGAGCCAAGCCGTGGGAAGAGGGTTGTGAAGGGCCCCCCCCTACCTCTCATCTCTGCTCCTGTTGTCCTGTCACAAAGCAGGCGGCACTAGATCTCCTGTGGCATGGGCCCTCATGCTCTAATGAACTTCTTATTCCCCTTCTCACGACCTTTTCTAGAAGACACATTCTCTTGTTTATCGGCACACAGCAGATGTGAGCCTCAACTTAGTTTGAGGGAAAAGTCGGTGGACCCACTGGCAAGGGGTGGGGTGAAAGAGACCTGAACTACTGTCTGGATAGCTCTTGGCTTTATTGTGCCTCCTGGTAGAGAAACAGACCCAGAGTGTGTGAGTAACTTCCCTGGGGTCCCACAGCCAACACCAGCATGTCACCTGCTTCTCCTATGAGACGGGAGGGGAGCGGTTAGTACATAAGTGAATGAAGAACCTAGGAGGCTGCAGTTGGGCTTGTGCTCAAAGGCAGATCCTAAAGTGAAGGTATCTTGTGAAGGAAGGGACAGAGCAGCAAGACAGGGTAACAAGGGGGGAAGATAGGAAGGGACAACTGGACGAGGATCCAGACCTTGTCTCCCCAGTTCAGACTCCACCGTCAGACCAGGAGCCACCCAGGGACGATTGGAATACATTTAGTGACCATCTTCTGTCACTTAGAAGCTGCCATTCTTAGTTTACATTCCTAGCTACATCTTCTCATTCCCTCTTTCTGATTCCTAGGAACCTCTGGGGGTGTTGTCCTTATCATCAAAGATGTCTCAAGCCTGGCCATAAATGTCCCCAGACCTTGCAAATTTGCATCAGGGTCTGAATGGGGGCTGTAACCAGGACAGGGCGAAGGGAGAAGCAGTATATGGTCACAGCTTCCTGTCCTTTGACTTTATGAAGCCTGTCATGATAAATGCCTTCCCCAGCCTGACTCCAGGCGTAGACCCATGCATCCATCAGTTTCACAGCCCCTCAGTGAGAAAGGGACACTCTAGTCCTCAGACTTCAATCCACTCCGGCCTGAGACTTCCTCTCCCCTGGGGGAGACTAATGCAGGGCCATAAATTAAGACATCTGCTCTCTAAGTCCCAGGAACCTGGGGCTCTGTAATATCTCCCTTGTTTTCTTTGGCCCTATTTAACTTTCTTCCAATTAGTTAGGCCCTGGGGCAGCAGCGAGCCGGCAGATGAGTCAGAGGCACCAAATCCAGAACCCAGAGTTTATCCAAATGTCGGCAGCCTTTCCCTGCTGGTTCCACTCTTCCCTGCCACAATTCTCTGGTCTCCTGCATCCTGGACCTGTACCAAATTCAAGGTCAGTAACTCTACTGATACGACAGGGAGGGAGCTGTTGAGCATGTGTTTGAGGACAAATTTTGTCCCCACCCCAGCCAAGATTGAGGCTTCCCCAGAGTCTTAAGGCAGGCCCCCTCTCAACCCCGAGCTACACCCCCTTCCGGAAGCTGTCCCTGTTGCCTCTGCTCCAGCTGCAGCTGCAGAGATGATAGACTGGGGGCCACGGAGGCCCAGCAGGATGGTGATGAATTAAGAGCAGCTGTTGAGAGCCTGATTTCAGGTCCTGGGGGGCCAGGGTAGTGGGACCCCACCAGTGCAGGGACCCCACCAGTTTAGGTGGGAGGAGGAGAGAGGCCTTTTGGGCGCTACTTACTGAGAACAACAGCTGACCAGCTGAGAGTCAAGCAGTCGGATGGTGACGAGGAACTGCTGTTTCCCCACCACAGGTGTGGCTCAAAGGGCCATGTCGGGTCCTGGCTGTGCTCAGCCCCACACCACAGCGTGCCTCATGCTAGCTTCTGCTGACCTTGTCCACATCAAAGGTTTCCGTCCATGGCAGGCTGGGGGTAGAGGAGAGGAGGAGGTGGCTGTTGGAGTGAAATGCCTGAGAAAGCTCCCTCTCTGCTTGGGGTCTGCAGGAAGCTGCAGGAAGGGTACCTCCGAGCCACCCATAAGGAGGGCCCTGCTGAGGGGAAATTTTAGGGCACCCTGAGACCAGTAAGGCACAAAGCTGCCTAACTAGGATGCATGACTCTAATAGAAAGGAAGTGGGGGGGGGGGGAGCAGATCAGGAGACAGGGGAGGGGGCGTTATCTCCTGAGTGCACATCAAAAGTAGATCTTCTGACAAGAAAGCAGTGGGGAAACACGGAAGTGAAGGTCGGTAGGGAGGGCAGCCACCGCCCCCACCACCACCACCACTCCCCTCCCCCCCCCCACCCTCCCAGGCTAATCTTGTGAAGGAAGGGGCAGAACAGCACAGCAAGACAGGGTAACAAGGGAGGAGATTAGAAGGCAGCACCGGCCTCCACCAGGGACGGGAGGAGTGGGAGCTGTCCAGCTTAGGAACCTGCTGAAACGAGGAAGGACCCGTGGCCTGAAGTGCTTACAAGAGCCTTGTCTCTCCTGGTTGTGTTCCCAGCCTGCTGCCTCCTCTGTGTTTCAGGAAGGTGTGTTTGAGGACCAGCCCAGATCGTCGGTTCTGGAAAAGGAAACACTTGTAGAGAATACCCGAGTCTTCTCCATGGAGAAGGGGAGGAAAAGTTAAGTGCTCAAAACAGCCCTAGCCAAAGACAAGGTACATTGCACTTGCACCAAGCAGAGCTAGCACATTCCCAAGGCAGGGCAGGACTGTTTGTGCCTCTAATGCTAATGGGATAAAACAGCAGGTGAGTGGCCACCGGGGTGCTATTGGACTCTCGGTGTGTCTACGAGTACTGGTGTGTCCAAGCACGCCTGCCGGTGTGATCTGGCCCTCCGGTACTCACATGAGGAGAGGCCCTAGTCTCAGCAGTGACAACCAAAACAGTCTCGGGCCCAGCTTGGGTGTCTGCCTCTGCCTCAGAACTTGCTCATTTAAGCTCCTTTCTATCAGGTGTTGATGTGAGCTCTCGTGCTGCGCTAGGCACAAGGACACATGAGAGTCAGGAAGACACTTTATCTAAATGTCCACATAGCAGGTAGAACCAAACAGTTTCACTTCCCTCCCCCAAGTCAGTGAGCCTTTCCCATTTGGCAGAATCATTCTCAAAAATGCTGTCCTCAGTGACCTTCCCTTCTCTGGTTCAACTGCCACTTTTTCCCTGAAGCCCCCTTGCTGCCTCCGATGCTGTCTTAGGGTTTTTATTGCTGGGGAGAGACACCATGACTACAGCAACTCTTATAAGGAAAACATTTAATTGGGGTGAATTGCTCACAGTTCAGAGGTTCAGTCATTATCATCACGGTGGGGAGCATGGCGACATGCAGGCTGACATGGTGCCTGAGCTGAGAGTTCTTATGTCTTGTACACAACAGGAAGTAAACTGAGGTACTGCGCAGCATCCTGAACACAGGAAACCCCAAATCCCGCACCCCCCCAGTGACACACTCACCCACTCCAACAAAGCCACACCTCTGAATAGTGCCATTCCCTATGGGATTATGGGGGTCAATCATATTCAAACTACCACAGATTCGAAGACATCACCTCTACCCACAGATTCCTTCTTTGATTAATCTAGGAACTTGGGAGGGACAGGCCAGAGCAGCTGTGCACAGTGAAACGCTGGAGTTGGGGGTTATGGTCAGGAGCAGAGGCTGGCCCTCCATCATCCCACTGTATGAAACCTGGAGAAGGAAGAGGAAATCCCATCCCACGGCTTTGGGGTGGTCTGAAAGCTGTGTTCTTGTGCTGTTTCTGCTATCGCCTGTGCATCTCCTACAACCAGGAGATCCTTTGCCTCCTGCTTCACTCCTTCCCAGCATGCCCCTCTTCCAGTATGCTAATCAACTAACTGTGGTTACCTCACTTCATGACTCGCTCCCCAGAAGCTGTGCTAAACACTTGTGCTAGAGATGCCATGGGAAGCTAGGAAGTCTCTGCTGCCTACTGCTTGGGCTTAAGTATTGGCCAATCAAATCTGTTTTTGTTTATGATGATTAAGACAAGTGCCTTGACCGGATTTGGCATCCTCTTTCTTACCTGTCGAATGGAAACATTAACATTTACTACATCATGGTGTTTTCTGAAGATGAAGTCAGCTGACACATATGGAAGGCTAGGAGCAGCGGCTGGCACTTGGTGAATATCCCATCCATGTAGCTCTTGGCGCTTCATTTTTCTTGTGGGTCTCATCTCTCAGCGGGAATGGACGGCCTCAGAGCACCTTCATGTATGCATTTCTATCAACCTCAAAGTTTCCTGATGGCTGGTATTATTTCCTGCTCTGGAGTAATCCAACTCTGGTACTGAAGTCAGCCCATGTTAGCCAGGGTTTGGACACACTGAGGGAGCATGAACAACCACATTCTTTTACTGCCCAAAGCCGTGTGGAAGAGACAGAGGCCATTCATGAGTTAGACTGTCAAGGACTGACACTGTCATTCTCTGGCAGGTTTCCCTTTTCTTGTCATTCTCAAATTACTTCATGTAGTTACATCTGTTCACCATGCTGGCTGACCATCTACCAGACCTCAGGACTGTGGAAGGTAATGGTGGACAGAATGTCCCCACTGTACTTCCAGTCTAGTGAGAGGAGATGGAACAGATAGGAAGGGCTTTAACAAGGGACGCATAGTAGGGACCCTGGTTTAACCTCAGGGCTTAGGGAAGTGACCCTGTAATCAGAGGCCAGGAACTAGGAGGGGAGCCAGCATGGGCAGGTTAGAAGTGTTCTGGGTTTTCTGCAGCCTCACCTTGCTTCCTAAACCCTACACTCTCAAAAGGATCTTGGGATTCACACACACACACACACACACACACACACACACACACACACACACACACACCTCCATCTTCCACACATCTCCCACTTCCAACCTTACCATCTTTCTGGGGGCTCTGTGCTGACTGGCATTGAGGCTTTCTGAGCAGGGCTCACTGCAAACCACAAGTGATCGTATAACCTCTTAACGTACCCCAGAGGATTCTGTCTAGTGCCTGAAGACGGGATCTACAGACACCTCCTTGCAGGCTGCAGCCCCTGACCTGCTGGGCTGAGTGCCAAGCCAGGATAACCTGAAAACACTACAAGCATATAATGGGCCAGATTTCCTCCCTCCTACTCCTCAGGAAGCCCCGCTTTTGCACTCCACCCTACTTCCTGTTTAGCAGGGACGATGTCCAGGTCAACTTCCTAAACATCTGTTCCTCACGTTCTTCATTCAGACTGGTGACATGTAGCTCAGTGAGATGACATGAGCCCAACCCTCCTCTAAGCTGAGCCATCTCCTGCCTACCTTCATTCTGGGGCCTCCAGAGAACAAGTTAGGGGAGATCAACCCTCCTGCCTCTGCAAGGGACAGAGGAGGAAAGCCCAGCTGCAGGGACCTAGCATCGAGAAGCTATCCAACACATACTGACTGTCCAGTGTGAGCCAGGCGCAGGACCAGGCAGCAGACTAACTGTTCCTTAAGAAAATAGGCAGTATTGGAGAGTAGGCCAGGACCTATCTGGAGTGAGAAACATTGCTGTGTGCATGGCATGGAGAGCTCAGGGCCTTTCAGCTCCTCACAGAATGTCAGGGAGGCCTTCCCAGACAGGACACCCTCGTGGAACCTGGAGGGTAAAACTAGCCAAAGGCCGGGTGGTGGCACACGCCTTGATTCCCAGCCCTCGGGAGGCTGAGGCAGGAGGATCTCTGTGAGTTTGGAGGCCAGCCTGGTCTACAGAGCGAGTCCCAGGATGGGCTTCACAGTTACACAGAGAAACCCTGTCTCCGATAAACAAAACAACAAACAAGCAAACAAACACAAAAAAGCTAGCTAAAGACAGTCCGGAAACATTGTCTTGTGTGGGCAAGTGATAAGAGTCGGTAAAGCTTGAAGATAGGGAAAAGTAAGGGTGTGGGATCTAAGGGGCCCCAAGAAGCTTGATTATACTGGCGAGTCATGATCTCATTTGATAATCTGGACTCAGTGCAGAAATCATGAGTGGATCAGCTAGTGGGGGGGGGTGCAGCAAGACAGGCTTGAGTGGAGGTAACGAAACCAAAAAGAAAGAATTGAGAAAACCTGCCAAGACCTCAAGATTGCCTGTAGATATGTGGTTTAGAATCCAGAAACTGAGTTCCAGGCAGCCCTGTGACCTTGGACCATCTCTCATATTCTTTAGTTTTCAAGTTTATCGATATCAAATACCTTCTCATGGGAAATAAGGCAGATACTGGGCTGCCACTGTGTGTTCTGCAAGACTAAAACTCAGCAGCCTGGTAGGATCCTAGCTGCCAGCAGTCAAAAGTCTTCAGTTCAGGGATGGGGATGGGGAGAGGAGGCTGCTCTGTGGCTAGTCCTGGAGTTGGATGAGTCCTACCAATGTCATGGCATCCTTTCCCCTGCCTTGGATGGGTGGCTATCATTGGGGAGGTATTAGAATTAGGAGGGATTTGCCCTCCACTCAGAAACCATTTCCAGCCCTGTTTGGTGGTTCATGCCTGTAACCCCAGGGGATCCCAAGTTAAAGGCCAGACTGGACTATATATTGGGAGCTTGTTTCAAGAAACAGAAGACAACAGAAACATTCCTGGGGATTTTCCTGGCGCCAGGAATTGGATTGGTCTCACTTAACACATAAGGAGGAGGCTAAATATCTCTGTGATGGGTGCCACTGACTTTCCCAGTCTCCTAGGCTCAGCTGGTCAGGAAACAGAAATCATATCACAGGGCTCCCTGGGAAGATAGGTCATGTGATTCAGGTTTCCCAGCTCCTGCCCTTGTCATTCCCTTGTCTAGTCCCAATCTTTATGGTTGGAAGGGGACTTCAGGACCCTAACTTAGCGAAGATGGAAAACAAAGGTTTTATATCTGCAGAGCCCATTAGCCAGCTTCCCCTTGATTCTCAGTCTGGGGTACGCCCCCCAGTCCATTAACCTCTCACCGGCCAGCCCTCCCACCATCCCCCTCCTCCGGGTACCATTCCGTTCTCTGTGACCCTCATAAACTACAGAGCACAAAACTAATGCGTTAAGAGTTTCATGAGGTCCTGACCCCCAGTACATGGGCGTGGAGCTTTGCGAAGCCCCTGTGCCATGGAGGCTGACAGCCGGCTCTCAGACACGGGACTCCCTCACCCCACACCCACCCATGCTGGTGTCCTAGAAGCTTCCTTCCTTGAATCTCACCTCTCTGGAAAGATAAGCCTTTGCCAGGAGTCCGCCTTTTTTATGAAGGGAGCTGCGGGCAGGCTTCTTGAGCACACTCAGACTCCTGTTAGCACCGTCCTCATCCTTGCTATAAAAGAGGCCACACTGGGGGTGGGGGTGGAGGTGGGGGGGGAGGGAGAGTGTGTCATAAGCAAGGAAAGATACTCAGTGGCTAAGCACTGGGAGCATCATTAGGGATAGTCTAAGGAGGGAAGAAACAGCACTTTATTTGGAAACAATTCTGCTGAGATGCAGTGTCTCAACTTCTCCTTCCAGCTGTGTGTTATGAGGTGCTTGCTGTGTGCTCAAAATAGGGAGCGAGTTTTAAAGTTACAGGCCAAGTTCTGGGCTTGGATGCAAAGGAGCAGCTCGGGCTGGATGATCTGCCCTTAGGGGAAGGGTCCTGAGCAGCGGCTCTCCTGTGCTCCTGCCCTTAGGGGAAGGGTCCTGAGCAGCGGCTCTCCTGTGCTCCTGCCCTTAGGGGAAGGGTCCTGAGCAGTGGCTCTCCTGTGCTCCTGCCCTTAGGGGAAGGGTCCTGAGCAGCGGCTCTCCTGTGCTCCTGCCCTTAGGGGAAGGGTCCTGAGCAGTGGCTCTCCTGTGCTCCTGCCCTTAGGGGAAGGGTCCTGAGCAGTGGCTCTCCTGTGCTCCTGCCCTTAGGGGAAGGGTCCTGAGCAGTGGCTCTCCTGTGCTCCTGCCCTTAGGGGAAGGGTCCTGAGCAGTGGCTCTCCTGTGCTCCTGTCATTCATTAGGGCTCAAAGCCTTTGCACTTGGAATGACCCCTGAACAGACAGGCACCCAGGCTGGGCCAGAGGAAGGTTTCCACAGAGACAGTCTCCACGTGGAGACAGCCAGTGATTCTCCTTGCAGGCCTCACCTCTGAGACGTACGTTCTGCTTCTTCCTGCCGTCAGTTCCAAACCTAGAGTGGAAAAATAAAACAAATGTTTTCTGTCTTTACCCTGAAGCATGGTGGGGCAGGCTCCGTTTTACTTTATTTTTGCAATTAAAATTAAATTTTGCATGTGGGTACATATGCATCATGCTGTGCTTGTGGAGGTCAGATGACAGCTCGCAGGAGTCTGTTCTTTCCTTCCACTATGTGAATTCTGGGAATCCAATTCAAATTGGTGACAAGTGCCTTTACCCGTTTTAGTTGAATTTTTCTTTGGGTTTCCAGCTCACAAATAAGAGAAACTTATTATTAATTATAAAGGCTTGACCTTAGCTTAAGCTTGTTCCTAACTAGTTCTTATAAGTTAAATTAGCCCATATTCTTTAAATCTACATTCTTTCATGAGACTTGTTACCTCATCTCCATACTGCCCACCCTGCTTCCTCCCAGGCAACTCCGACTTTCTTCTTCCCAGAATCCTCTCTGACCGGAAGTCCCGCCTATTCTCTCCTGCCTAGCTACTGACTGTTCAGCTCTATATCACACCAGCCACGGCAACACATCTTCACACAGTAGAAACAAATATCCCACAACAACCCACTGAGCTATCTCACTGGTTCAGGACCCAGTTTTCAAGAGGATTTGTGAATTTAGAAGGTAAAACAAGCCAAATAAAGTGGGGGTGCCTGGAAGGAGATTAGGGCATTGAAAGAAAAACTGGTGAACTCCAAAGAAAGCTCCAGTGTAGTTAATAGTAATATGCCAATGTTAGTCGCCTGGTTTTGACAAGGCACCATGGTTGCATGAGGCTTGAACTTTAAGGGAAAGTGGGTGGAGGGTAGACAGGAGTGCTGTAACTTTTCATTATGAAAATAAATAAGAGCACGTGCTGGAGAGGAGTCAGAGAAAAGGGAACACTTATACATGGCCGGGGAGACTATTAAATCGGAACAATCAAAACAGAAATCAGTATTGTTGTTCCTCAAAACAAAGCAGCAACAACCAAAACGGCCACGTGATCCAGCTAGACCACCCCAAGTCAACACACCAGAGATGCTGCACAGCAGTGTTTACGGTAGCATTACTCTCAGCAGCTAAGTCGTGGAACCCATCCAGGGGTCCCTCGACAGAGGAATGGTTAGAAAAAGGTGTGGGGGGAAGGGGTTGGAGAGATGGCTCAGTGGTTAGGAGCACTGGCTGCTCTTCCAGAGGACCCAGGTTCAATTCCCAGCACCCACACGGCACTCACCACCATCTGTAATTCCTCTTCCAGGAGACTTGATGCCCTCATGCAGACAAAATGCCAATGAACATGAAATAAAAATAAGTAAATCATTAAAAACAAGAAAAAAGGTGGTTTATATTCACAATGGAATTTTATTCAGCCCTAAATCACTAATTGTATCATTTTTCAGAAAAATGGATGCGATTAGAGATTGTCCCATTAAGCAAATCAAACCGGACTTAAAAAAGGCCAATATCACACTTGTGGGTCTAAGTCTGTGTATAGATCTGTGGGTTCATGTACACATATGTGACATGGAAATGGGAGCAACACTGTTTGGGAGAAGCAACAGGAAGGGGAAGAAAAGGAATGTGTGGGAGGACTTGGCCAGAGTATATTATATATTGTGAGTTTGAGGCCAGCCTGGTCTACAGAGCAAGATCCAGGACAGCCAGAGCTACACACAGAGAATCCCTGTCTTAGAAAATCAAGACAAAACAGAAAAGCAAAAACAACAACAAAAATTTACAAAGAAAAGGTGGAGGGAGGGGAGAAAATGGCAAAGTCAGGCAACTCAAGAGTCACACATGCTTAGGTGGAGGACCCCTCATCTAGGAGTAAAGCAAAGACCTCTCCTGAGCTGCAGTGCTTAAGACCAAGTTCACCCCAGACAGCCACCCTCCAGCACTCGGCAGATTTCCGACCTGACCTGATGTCTGGCTCCTGGGACTCTGCAAAGGCTGGCCCTTAACCCTGCCTTTCTCTTTTCCTTCCCAAGCTCTCAGCCTCTGGTCAGAGATGACAGATTAAAGCACTAGCAAACTCTAACGTGGAGAATCTGATGTGTGCCCCAGTCTTTGCACATTGAGACCGCGCCCTAGCACAATGATACTGAGCGATGAGGTCATGAGGGCAGAGCCCTCTTTTTACAAAAGGAGCCTCGGAGAGACCCTCAAATTTCCCATATGTGAGGACACACCAACGGGGTCCTCTGAACCAGGAAGTGAGTTTTCTAATGCCTGGACCTTGAGCTTCCAGCCTTCAGAATATGAAAGATCTGTACATGCCATTTACAAACTACACAGCCTATAGAATTTTGTTACAATAGTCAGAATGGTTGGCTGAAGAGCCGATATTTAGGACAAGTGAACCTGATGTATGGGACTGGCGAGATGGCCTAGCCAGTAAAAAGAACATGCCATGCAAGCCTGACTGCCGGAGTCAACCCTTAGAACCCACAGTTCTGGTCTCCACACATGCACCATGGCATGGACGTTCACATACGAGCACACACACACTCCTATACACACATATCCACACATACATACATATATCCAATACACACATGCACACACACATGCATGTGCACAGATATACATGCACACATATATGCACACTAAAATAAATATAAAAAGCTTAAATGTGAAGGCAGTTAAAACAGATGAGCCCTCAGCAGGCATTCCCACACTCAGTGACCCCTTGGGGTCCTAGCTCTGCCCAGCTCAAGTTACCTACTCCCTCCTCTCTGGTGCCTTCAAGACAGGTTTCTCGGGCGGTTGTGGCGCATGCCTTTAATCCCAGCATTCAGAAGGCAGAGGCAGGCGGAGCTCTGTGAGTTCGAGGCCAGGCTGGACCGACAGCCTCCAAAACAATACAGAGAAACCCTGTAACCCTGTCTCGTAAATACCAAAAAAAAAAAAAAAAGACAGGTTTCTCGTGAATACTTCCCTCACCCATTCCTTCACTTGCCCACCCAAGTGAATGGCTATGGAAAAACCCACCATCTGTGTGTCCAAGATGAGTACCAAACCAGGTGGTTCCGAGGCACATTCACCATACATCCACCATCAAGGCTGCCTTCCACAGTCGCCCTACGTCTCTCTCGTGGATGCAATTTCCTCTATGTCTCTTCCTAGGACAGGAGAGAGATAACCAGGTACCAGTCGCCTAGAGTAATGCCATGAGTGTTCCTAAGACTGACAAGGCCCTTCTCTAAGTTACATTCTGTCTTGTTTACCATGAAATAGGTCCTGGTCCTTTAGCCTTGCTGTGGAGCCAGGCCTGGAGAGAGCTGCTGGAGGCTGGGGGCTCTGCACTGGGCTCGGAACCCATAGCCTATCAGCCTCTGCTCACATTCATCTTGGCCTCCCTGGCCCCACCAGTCTCCACCAGCCCACTCCTGGCAAGCTGGGCTCTGGCCAAGCAGAAATGGCAGCGGCGCCCCTCTGGTGTCTTGTCGGCATTGTTGGGAACTTTGGCTTTGAAACCACAAAGGTGTTTCAAGTACCCAGGGAGAGAGCTCAGGAAGCCGTGGAGACAGTGAGACAGCTGAATTAAACAGCATCTGTCTGTGTGAGTCACTGCTCGCCTGCCTGCCACCACAGTCCTTGCATGAACCTTGAGCTAGTGAGACACTTCAACCCACCAAGTTTCTCCCGCACGCAGAACCAGATCGCTTAGCTGAAAGTTATTGCTGCCAGAAAGGATTTCCTGAACTCTATGGGCCCCCAGGTACTAGAGTTTCCTGAGAGGGTACCCAGTAGCTGGCCACAGTTGGCCCCACCCAAAATAACTCAGGACAAGTCCACCCTTCTTAAAGAGCTTCCCTGAGATTTGAGGTCCTCCTCTCATGACTGGCCTCATGTAGTTCCAACATGGCACGGTGTATTCAGAAGTCACCACAGCTGCCTTCTCTCGCTGCCTTGTTTTGCCTCTGGTGACAGTCTCCGTTGGTTGGACAAATTAGTTTGCTTGAAAACTACAATGGAGGCTCTGTCTTTGCCAACCATGTGCCTGGCTTCTACCTCTCATGGTTTTCTCCATGGTCACAGAGAATTCAGGAAGGTTGAAAAAGTCCCCATGTGGAGCTGTAAGTTCACCCTGAAGGCCATCCAGGCGGAGGAACAAATGGGAGTGTGCCTGCAGGTCATGGGCCCCCATGGTCTCTCCATGGTACCGGGCAGGACTGGGGCATTCACACCGACATTCCCCAATAGGCTCCTCTTCACCGGTGTGAGGGAGAGACTGTCAGGCCACTCAACATGAGCTACTGGCTTCTGTTCATAGTTTGCTTGGGTGTCATAGACAGTGGGCTCATTAATCTGGATGGAAGTCAGGTCTTTGGGCATCCGAAGAGTCTTTGGGCTCTTTCCATTAAGAGAACAGCAGGGGTGGGTTGTACTTGGAAAAGGCCAACAATAGCCCGAGTTCCCACGTGCCAGAGTCCACCGCTCCTCATTGGGTAACAACCCTATGAGATGCATGTTGCTATTCCCCTTTGTGCCTTGCCTTGATCTTTAGACATGGTCACACTATATAACTCAAGGTGGCCTTGAACTCATGACTGCCCTGCCTCAGTCACAGGAGTGGCGAGATTACAGGTGCCTGTCCCCACACTCAGCTGCTGGTCCCATTTTTATGCATGAGAAAAGTGAATATCAAAGAATTGTCCCTCTTGATTGGGTCACACATTGAGGAAGAGGTGCAGAACAGATTTCAACCCAATTTTGCGGTCCTTGTTCTTCCCACCACAGGACGTTGTCCTCGCACAGGATTGCTCAGCCCTTATAGTCAAGGACTTCCATTTTTTTGCGGTGTTTTTTATTTTCTTCTATCATCCTGCTACAACATAAACACAGCTATGAAAACACACTAAGGCTTGTTTGTTTTGCCGTTGTTTCCATGAGGGCGTTTTAGCAAATACGCAAATGTGACCCAGCCCTAGGGAGGTCACAGGCTCTCTCTTTTTGCTTCTGTATTTATGTTCTCTTCGTTCTGGCCTTGTCGTCTGCTTCTCTCCTATGCCTTTGTGTTCCCCCAGGGTGTTTCTCTATTTTCCCACCTTCCCTCATCATCTTTTCTGCTCCTTTAGGCCTTGGCAGCCAATCCTGTACCTTTAGCATCTCGTTGCCAAGCAACAGGCTTTCTACCTGCACCATTGTGTTAGAATCTCCATGGCAACAAATATTGCCAAAAAGGAAGGGAGGGGAGAGCTAGGTGGGTTGCAAGAAGACCCTGTGTTTCAGGACACTCATGCAGTTTTGCCAGCAGTAAAAATGTTTGCTCTCAGGGTTTCCAGAGGTTGTTACAGTTTGCTTAAACCTAAACCTTGGGGATGGCTCATCAAGAGGCACAGTGTGAGTCAGGGGAGACAGAGTTAGGAATGTCCGTGTGAAGGGCCGCGTCGAGAGCCATGAGCACTTTTTGCAAGGGCAGATGGAACAGGACTGTGTGACCACCTCTCTGTGAGATAGTTCTGACAACCTAGACAAGGCAGGGCTTCTCAGTAAGGTTGGTGAAGCAGCTAATGAAGAGTTTCTCCACAGGGCACAGAGAGGGCTGCATCTGAACACGGGCTTGCCCAGCGTGCAGCATTAAGGAAAGGGTAAGAAGTGAAGGATGGTGGATGGCATAAGATTATAGCCACACAGGCGCCTACCCAGGAATTTGGGGCATGTAAGAGCCTTGTACAATTCATGGTTTGTTCTTAGACAGTGGGTGGCCTCCCCTCAGCCTCTGCTTCCCTGCTTTCAGAGATCTGGGGGAACCTGCTGGAAAAATGAGGAAGAATTGGTGCGAAAGAGATAAGGATAGCATGAATTCCCAGCGCTTATGCTGGATTGCAGTGGGGACTTAGCTATTCTGTCCACAGACTCTGAAGGATGTCCTAACAGATGTCCTTCAGGTGCCTAGCTGGGAAGACAGTGACCAGTCAGGATGCTCAGGAAGTCAAGTAACCTTGTATTATAAAACCTCCTCTCCCATGGACAGAACAGGCTGCTCTAGCTGTACTATTAAAGACAAAGAGTGTGGACAACTGTCCATCCAGGACCCAGCACACACAGGGACTCTGTGATTACACCTAACAACCCCTTTTCACTGGCATTTTCCTCTGTGGTACTGCCCCATATGAACTGCAAGTCTTTCCCAAGGTCACAGGCCACAGGTTATCATGCCCTTGACCCTGGGCCTTCCAGGTACAGGGACATCTTTGTCTCTTTAAACTCCAAGTGGACAATGAGAAAGACACAGTCCTATTATGTAATGTTCTTTATGCTTAGAAAGTGCTCAGCTTCAAATCAGAGCATTTCAGATTGTGTTTGATTGTTTTTAAGACAAGGGTTCACTGAGTGGCCCTGACTGTCTTGGCACACTCACTTTGTAGATCAGGCTGGCATTGAACTCCTAGAGCTCTGTTTGCTTCTGCCTCCCAAGTGCTAGAATTAAAGACATGAGCCACCATTCTCAGGCAGTCCAAGTCTTAGTTTAGTGGGAAGGAGAATAGATGAAGGTCCTCCGCCTAGTGGGAGTGGAGAGGCACCCAGACATCTTCTCTAGCTATGTTCTCTTACCTACTTGGCCTCTTCATGCTTTTGTATGTGTGGCCAGGCTCCCAGCGGGTGACGGCCCCACTGCTGAACAAGGCAGCCTAGATTCAAGACTGCTGAGTGAGTCAGACACTGCAGACGCTGTTGTGGATGGAGCTGGCTGAACTTTTGGGAACAGTAATCTGCAATTTGTAACTGAAGGCTTTTCAGGACTCTCTCCTCTTGGACCCAGGGGTTCTCCTTCTAAGAATGAAGCCGAGGGAATGATCTCAAGCACAAGCAAAACGTGTCTGGATTTATCACATCCTTGTACACAATAGTGGAAAACTGCCAGAGGGTGGTGGTGGCACACGCCTTTAATCCCAGTGATCTGGTGGCAGAGGCAAGTGGATCTCTAAGTTTGAGACCAGCCTGAGACGAGCCTGAGACAGCCAGAGCTACACAAGAAATTTTGTCTCAAAAATCAAGGGGATTGGGATGTGGAAGAAAACAGAAAACCCTCCCCCCCCCCACAGAGTATGGAAAACTAAGAACATCAGACATGGGCAGCAATGGGGGAGAGGTTAACCGGGGTTCAGACAATACAATCCCCAACAATTCATGATCTGATGAATGTATTTTAAACTTTTGGAGACTTAAAGTAAAAGGTAAAGGTGCTTAGTACACTTATAATTATAGTACAACCGCAGTTTTACACTAAAGGGATGTACACTTGTAGCTATAGTACAGCCACAGTTTATAGTAAAGAGATGTACACTTGTAACTATAGTACAACCACAGCTTATGGTGAAGAGATGTACACTTGTAACTACAGTACAGCCACAGTTTTACAGTAAAGAGATGTACACTTGTAACTACAGTACAACCACAGTTTTACAGTAAAGAGATGTACACTTGTTAACTATAGTACAGTCACAGTTTTACAGTAAAGAGATGTACACTTGTAACTACAGTACAACCACAGTTTTACAGTAA